AGTTGTGAGTGCTGAAACCCTAAATTGCTGACTCGGGCTCGTCCTTGCTAAGTAGGAGGCAAAAAACTGCTAACTCTGAGTAGTGACTTGGGACCTGCCTGGGGTGACAACAGCAAGGATCACAAGTCTTGTGCTCATGTCCTAGTCCTCTAAACCTAAACCCTAAACCCTAAAAGCCTCATTGCCATGCCTGCCTTGTGCGAGTGTGTGAGTCGAAACCCTATAAACCCTAAACCTCAAGAGCTGCAAGGCCGCAGGCCGCCGAAAACTGGCAGAGGAGGTTCTTAACGAGGCCGAACTTCAGGGTGAAGGATGGGGTTCATGGGACTCCATATAGGGGTGTGTAGGGCTTATGGGCCCTGGGCACTTGGGGTGATGGATCTGCAGATTGATGCGCCAAGGTCTGTCGGGCCGTTGCAGGGTGTTGGGTTCAGGGTTGTGTGTATGGTCTGTGAAGAGATTCCTGCAAACGACCGTTGCCACACCGGAATGTACACTCCCAATCCATCTGTCGCAGAGCAGCTTCTGAAGATGAGACAGGTTACTGTATATACATACTGTGCGAGACAAGCGGGTTCGGCCGCGCATCTTTCGCGTATCATCCTTTCCAGGCAGGTCAGCCGGTAACATGCTGCATCGAATGCCCGAAAGAAGCGAGGACCCGTCGTTGTTCAACTCCCCATTCTCGCGCGCAAGCGAAGAAACATTGGCTCCGAGGTTTGGTTTTGGGGATGAAGGTTTTGGTCTGGCCATGACAGTCCTGGAAGCCCGCAAACATGTGCACGGCCTTGCTTGAATCAACTCGCTCCTGGCTCGAAGTCTGAGTGCACCTGCTTCCAGCGATGCTTTAGCTCGTGCGGAGAAATGCCGGTCTGGCAGAACATTAACTTGAAGCAGAAAGCGATTTTCGAAATCATCCAGAGGCCGCACGCCCGTGACCTTCCATACTACCTCACGGATGACGAGCTGGATTTTTTTGTGAAAGGCATTGCATGGGGACCTCACAAGGAAACCTACCTGCCTCGGCTGGTGGAGCGACACAAACGCCCGATCTGTATTGCCCGAGGCTATGCGCCTCCAACTTACTCGCGCCTGGTGATGATTCGGTACTATGGCCCGGACCCACTCCTAGAAGGCCATGAAGGATGGGACGCTGGTGAAGAGGGTGAGATTATGCAGTATGTCTTGGGGTGGAGATGGATCTACGCAGATTGGCCGGGGCCCCTCGTCGATGAGGTGGAGGACACAATGCCCTGCTTTTACTTTTCCGATACATACATTCCAAGGCACTGGTGTAAAACAAGGTCCT